TTGCAGGTCTAGTAAAAAAGTACTGGGTGTAAAATTGGTTTCAACAGAGTTTAGATCTAAAGGTGTTTTCCTTTAATAAGAATAAGTTGTGTATTTGAATTTATTGATGTTCTAAATACTCTAAAAATAAATAAATATATAGTTACAAATAAATAGCTAGTTACAAAGAAGACCTATAATGATTTGTGCTGTATAGGTGTATGTAAAAAAAAATATTAATAGTTTAATACATGTATTTTTCATAAATTTGACCTGTGCTTTTCAACTCTGTTTAAAGATTAATAACATGATCATCAATATCAATGGCAAAATATTTATTGTAAAATTACTGATATAGCATTGAAATGTCCTGTAGTGACTCCAGACTTCTCAAGATGGAACCCTGAAATGTGAGCCTCAAGAAATTAATGTTCAGGTTTCTCTTGAGCCTCAATTTCTGTAGCTTTTATGTACACTTTTATGCACTAACTTGGACATATGTTTTGAGTTTATCTGATCAAACATTCTCTGCTGATCAGTCATTTGCAGTCGGGTCAAATGTTAATGACGAACCTTATTCATGTGTTAGTGTGGAGGTAATAGAGAAGTGCTTCAAATAACCAAAGAACTATTTATGTCAACTTCTCTGGTAAATAATAGAAATCAATTCTATTTATTGCTTACATATAAACATTTTTCAAATCTACAAAATAAATGGCGACTAAAAGTGGAGGTAGTTTTGGCGGCTAGCATAGTAAAGGAGCACTGATTTTGAGACGAAAATATTGTGGAGTCTTAAGACGCATACCAGACCACCCGTAGTGCAATGTTTGTGATTGAAGAGTTAACTCCAATCTGTTGGAGTTGGCAATATATTACTTTCTTCAACAGTAGTGCTTCCAAGGGTGACAAATGCCAGCCAGTCTACAAAGTTTTACAAATGATGCAAATGACAACCATTTGTTATGGTACATCATAAAATTTTTGTTGCTGTAGTACATAGCTTGAGTATTGAAGTACTGGAGCTAAAGCTACTACAGCTAGTAGCTTGTAGGATATTTGTTCTTTATATGTGAATGGTAACTAGATATTTTTGGTGCCAAGTTTTGTGGATCCCATTTGATTATTCCTTGATGTTTAGTTGTGTGTGTAGTTTTGTTAGGACTGAGGTAACCTGATTATTTTGACATGGGGAAAATTCACTTCTGTGTACATGTAATTATTAGCTTGAAACAAATTAATTAATGCTTTGTGGTGTTCTTATGGAAGTGAATTTGCTTTAAATTTATATATATTTTTTATAATTATTCATTTGCAAACTGAAATTTCATAATCTTTTCTTGAATTGTGCAGAAAATGTATACATATAATACATTAAGAACTTATCATTGCCTTTATTGAAATATTTTTCATCTTTGGACTAATTGTATTCCATGCAAGTTCATATCCAGGAATATTACCATCTAAGTTGTGAGTAATCTGTAGAAGAATACCAACCATAAAATAATTTGCTTTCCAATATGTGGTTTAGCATTCAAAGTTGTTCTGTTAGATAACTTGTCTTGAGAAGCCAAACTATTTTGTTGTGATCATGCACTTAATCCATTTGGAAATATTGTTTTAAATTTAGCAGCAAGTGCTGTCAATATAAAGCTAACAATGTAGGTGTACATGTTTTGAGAATCAATGAGAGCTTGCAGCTATCTCCATTCAGAGAAGTATAAATTTATTAAAGGCTATCAAATGCCATACTAAAAAAGAAAACAGTAGGTAGAATGTAATTAGGCAATCCTACAAGATACTAGTTGTGACATTCCATGTGACTTTGCTGCTTGTCATATTGTCACTGAAATATTATTAATGTTTGATGAACAGACGTGATCATAATAATACACATTTTTTGCAGATTTCTTCGATCCTAAATAAAAAGACATATTGTACTAACTGTAAAAAAAAAAAAAATAGAAAGATGGAAAACCTTGTGCTTAACGACATTCTTTATAACGTACTTAGTCTTCTATTAAAATAATTACCTTATTTAGGTTTTCCTTTTGAAATATTTCGGCAAATTTTAAAGTAATTTTGTATCTAGTAGTGTCTTTATCGGTTATTAAACTATACCAGATTTAACTGTTAAAGCTGGATGGTGCAGGCCAAGGCTTTCTTACTCACAGTTTGTCACAGTTACCACACATACTGAAGTTGGCAGCTCGGCAGCAGCGCTCAAAACATTTACCAGAGAAATTTGCAGATTATAAATTTTGAATCTAATGTGTTGATGCTAAACATCATAATGTGTTGATGCTAAACATCATAATGTGTTGATGCTAGACATCATAATGTGTTGATGCTAGACATCATAATGTGTTGATGCTAAACATCATAATGTGTTGATGCTTAACATCATAATGTGTTGATGCTTAACATCATAATGTGTTGATGCTTAACATCATAATGTGTTGATGCTAGACATCATAATGTGTTGATGCTAAACATCATAATGTGTTGATGCTTAACATCATAATGTGTTGATGCTAAACATCATAATGTGTTGATGCTAAACATCATAATGTGTTGATGCTAAACATCATAATGTGTTGATGCTAGACATCATAATGTGTTGATGCTAGACATCATAATGTGTTGATGCTAAACATCATAATGTGTTGATGCTAAACATCATAATGTGTTGATGCTAAACATCATAATGTGTTGATGCTAAACATCATAATGTGTTGATGCTAAACATCATAATGTGTTGATGCTACACATCATAATGTGTTGATGCTAGACGTCATAATGTGTTGATGCTAGACGTCATAATGTGTTGATGCTAGACGTCATAATGTGTTGATGCTAGACGTCATAATGTGTTGATGCTAGACGTCATAATGTGTTGATGCTAGACGTCATAATGTGTTGATGCTAGACATCATAATGTGTTGATGCTAGACATCATAATGTGTTGATGCTAGACGTCATAATGTGTTGATGCTAGACGTCATAATGTGTTGATGCTTAACATCATAATGTGTTGATGCTAGACATCATAATGTGTTGATGCTAAACATCATAATGTGTTGATGCTAAACATCATAATGTGTTGATGCTAGACGTCATAATGTGTTGATGCTTAACATCATAATGTGTTGATGCTTAACATCATAATGTGTTGATGCTAGACATCATGATGTGTTGATGCTAGACATTATGATGTGTTGATGCTAGACATCATAATGGGTTGATGCTAGACATCATAATGTGTTGATGCTAGACATCATGATGTGTTGATGCTAGACATTATGATGTGTTGATGCTAGACATCATAATGGGTTGATGCTTAACATCATAATGGGTTGATGCTTATCATAATGTGTTGATGCTACACATCATAATGTGTTGATGCTACACATCATAATGTTGATGGTAAACATCGTGATGTCAAAATATTTTGGCATTCATATACTGTACTACACTTAAGCTTAGAGTATATTAATTATAATGATACTATTCTTATAATAATGCTACATAGGCTTTTCTGATTCTGAAAATATATTTCATTCAATTATTAAAGTATTAAATGGGCAAACAGAAAATGGCGACAAGTGATGGGCTTTAGTAATTCTAGAATTCCAAATGTAGAGGACGCAGTAGCTTGTCGATGAGAAAAGTCGACGTGATTCTACTTTGAGTCCATTGTGAGTGTGTGTGTGTGTGCCTGATGCTTGAGTGGATCCCAGTGTTTGGTATAGGAGAAAACACCATTTATATGTAGGTAATGGATAGCAGGTGTGATATATAGTATACTGAAAGATCCCTGATAATGTAACTGGCAATTGAACTATTTATGTAAGTTATGTCAATTTGTTCAAACCTTGAAGATAATACTTCAACCAGTTTTTTTTTTTTTACCTGCCCAGCCTCCAAGAGTGATGGTACTTACAACAACTGTGAATGGAATGTAAAAAAAAATATGAACTGCTGTAGCAAATTATGTCCACATATTGTATTTTAATTCTGAAAAAGCATAACCAAAAACTGAAATAGACTAACCATTAACCTAACCTAAACTGTCCTGTAATGAACAATCTTTCCATATGGAATGTTTGGCCAAATTTTGTACACAAGTGTACAATACAAGGTCTAGGAAAAATTTGGTTGGGCTGTTGCGTTCACTCTTGTATCTCTCCGAAATTAAATGGCACAAAATGGGAGCTACTTTTGCATACAACTGCCCTATTTTCTACATTCCATCAGCAGTCACTATAGGGCCTATCATGTGTGGATGACTGGTTGATTTATACAGATTTTGCATTTATTGCTAGCTGATAGTACTGGAGTACTACTGCTTCCCCTTCCATCCCTTCAGTATGAATTTAAGCTGTAGATTTTAACAACTTGTGAAGCATGTGTGATGTTAGTAGGATAGATAAAAGAATGGATGTTACGTAAAGACAATGTGTCAATTCTGTCAGTCATAGGATTGGGCGAAGAGTGCTCAGAGAGGATTCGGCTGCATTAAAAGAATGAGGGATGGCTAAGAGGGACTGATAGGGAAGGGAACTATCAGGGGGAAAGTGCCAAGCCATTATGACTATATAGCACTGGGAAGAGATCAGGATAAGAATTTGGGGTGGAGGAATGTTGCACAACCACTTGGACGGTTGGGGATTGAGACCGTCGTTCTACCGTCCAGTCCAAGTGGTTGAGGACTGAAAGGGAGTGTGTGTGGATAGTGCATTAGAAGTACTGTGCTAGGAAACAAGGCTAGGTTGCACAAGTTTATGATGAGTAAATACTTGATATGTCTGTGTATGATGCTTGCCAGGAACACTTTATATTGAATCTTATAAAGTGGAAGCATGATGCTGTGAATGATTTGCTTAATATGGTGGTGCTGGTTGTCTATTAAATCCTGTAGAATGTATGGTACAATGAAGGGATAGATGTTTGTATGGTACAGTGAAGGGATAGGTGTTTGTATTGTACAGTGAATGGATAGTTGTATGGTACAGTGAAGGGATAGTTGTATGGTACAGTGAAGGGATAGTTGTATGGTACAGTGAAGGGATAGTTGTATGGTACAGTGAAGGGATAGTTGTATGGTACAGTGAATGGATAGTTGTATGGTACAGTGAAGGGATAGTTGTATGGTACAGTGAAGGGATAGTTGTATGGTACAGTGAATGGATTGGTGTTTGTATGGTATAGTGAAGGGATAGTTGTATGGTACAGTGAAGGGATAGTTGTATGGTACAGTGAAGGGATAGTTGTATGGTACAGTGAATGGATTGGTGTATGGTACAGAGAAGGGATAGGTGTTTGTATGGTACAGTGAAGGGATAGGTGTTTGTATGGTTCGGTGAAGGGATAGATATTTGTATGGTACAGTGAAGGGATAGGTGTTTGTATGGTACAGTGAAGGGATAGGTGTTTGTATGGTACAGTGAAGGGATAGGTGTTTGTATGGTACAGTGAAGGGATAGGTGTTTGTATGGTACAGTGAAGGGATAGGTGTTTGTATGGTACAGTGAAGGGATAGGTGTTTGTATGGTATAGTGAAGGGATAGGTGTTAATATTTAATGTGTGTGTGTGTCTCATTCATCCTTAAGTGTTCCATTTTTTCTGGAATTTTTGCTTCACTTCTCATATGTCCATCATTTTTATGTTATTGAAAATTTGTTTGCATATTTATTCTAATAATTATTTTTTATATAATTTTATTTGTTGCTTTGGGTCTCCATGAAATCCTTATTTCTCATATTTTGATTATTGTGTCTTTATTATTTCTCTCTATTGCCATACATTTGTTGTGTTAGAGGGGTTGCCATGTAGTATCTTCTGCTCCCTTCCAGAAAGTTATACATTGTATCCTTATATATACTGTATGTTGTTTTAATATGGCACAACCTTAATTTTCTTTAAGTGATTGATCATTAATTATTTTGACATACTATAGCCATTGCTATGTACTTATGTTCTGGGTAAACACATTTTGATAATTTCTATCTTTTGACTTATGGGAGGGAATTAGACTGAAAATAGATTACTTGCCTTTTGTTATCAGGCTGTTATTTTAGTGTGCTGTACACAGCAGGGTATTTTCAATGCATTACTAGTCTTTGTTTGAGAGCTCATTGTGGCCATGAAAATATAAAGTCGTCAAGTTTCTTAATTAGTGAATTGAGCTCAATATGGTAAATGACTGTGATAAAAATTACTGGCTGTCCTTCCTACCCGCCCTCCATCCACTAAACTTAGGCTTAAAAGTTAGTCTGTATAATGACTGGTATATAAAGTTTAGCTTTGGTGGTTGTTAATGTAAATGTTTCTCATAGTTAAAATAACACTTTGTTTCATTTGTGTTAAATTTAATGTTTCATTTGTGTTTGAGATTATGTATTACTAAATGAGTATGACTCATTTAGTAATACATACTCTTAAACACAAATGAAACGTAAAATTTAACACAAATAAAACAAACTGGTATTTTAACTATGGGAACCATTTACGTTAACAACTACAAAAGCTGAACTTTATATACCAGTCATTACAAATCGTGATGAAGACATCTTAGCTTTCATTTGGTAACTAAGTGTATAGATGGTGTGCTTAGCTGTCATGTCTGGTGTTTTCTCAAATATCAAAACTTTTGTACTCGTTGCTTCAGATGCATTTGACTACTGGACCGATATTGGGTGTTAATAGATTTTTATAAAAAAAAACACTGAAAGGTCATTTGCTGTTAAGTGTAAAGTATTACTCAATTCAGATGATGACACAAATATCACGTGATGATAAAATACTTGTTACGGTAATAAGCAAATAAACAATAAATCACTTTATTGGTACGAGTATTTTGTAATTAATTTTTCAGTCATGGTAGAGCCGCAATCCATCTCGTGTGGAAATATCAGTCGGGTGCTCATGCCACTGATCCCTGGATGTGTGCCAAAGCTAGGAGTGCAGGACATAAGTGTTTATAATGCAGTCTGGTTAACAGTTATTGTCTGCATTCTTTGTTTTTGGGACATCCTTGACTGTTGTGATAACATGGGAGAGGTAAGCCAACCAACAATAGATCGAAGCTTTCCCAGGACTAATTGTTACAGTCATGATCCTGTTAACTTCATTTTGTATTTTGTAATATTTTGCACAAGATTTTGGCATTAATATTGAGTAAACTTGATTTTTAATTAACTCCATTGTGATAAATTTTCTGACAGCAAACCATCTTTGAAGATAAATGAAAGAACTTCCCTGTACACATTAATCTATTTGCTGTAATAGAATATGCATTATTTAATAATCAGAGCTTCAATGTATGGCTTTGCTTTGTCAGCTTTCAGAATATCTTCACCCTTAGCATAGTGTGTTATCAAGGCAGTGTGTATGATCCATGAATTTACCCACAAACCTATTATTTATTTATTTTATGGGTAAAGGATTGTGAAGAGATTGTGTTAGTTTCCAGTTTAAGTATTGTAATTTTTTTTGTCAATAATCACACACTAAATCCATCGATGCCTTTTTCTCCTTAAGAAATAAAAGAAATTAGCATTGAGAATGTTGACTATTTTTATATTGTGGGTTGATGGTGTTGTCGTTGTTGATCCTTCTTTACGGACAACCCAACCCATAACTCGGTGGAGTGCTTATACTTTTCCAGATCACCCTGGGCACTTCTGGCTCTTGGAGAGGGGCTCAACGTCACATGTTTAGGGGATGCGGCTCCAACACTTAGCCTCATTGTCACGTGCACACACCCACTCGAGCCGCTGTGACTCCCCACTCTCTCCTTATGTTATATGATCTCCTCAATCCCCTTTGGCTTATTAGTTTTCCGTCCTACCCTGTCCACAGCAGTGGTTCTTGGTTCTTTCTCCTCCCTCCCCGCTCAGCTCGTTGTTGCCGTGTGGGGGCTTAGTGGACGGCTGCCGGAGTGTGATGCTCCTTGGGACAGTCCTCTGTCCTTTTCTAGCCTTGTGCTCCTGCTGCCGTCCTCTCCAATTCTGCTGGGCATCTTTTCCTTTTCCTTCTGTTTCGTTTTTCTCCCCCCTCTTCTCCTATCTGCTTGCCGTTTCCTGCCGACCTTTTGCTCGTTCTGGTTCTTCCCTTGGACTTCTTCTATTTTGACGCCCGGGTGCTTGAGGAGGCATACTCTTGCACCCGTAGAACTGTAGTACCCGATGTCGAGAGCGAGGGGAACCTTTTATTGTCAATCCCCCTTTTGTCACTGAACCCGATCTCGACGGACTGTCGGTTTCTTAAGGTGGCGTTTGTGGGGCGTATACTCACGACGCACCCCTAGGAGGCCCTGGCAAGATCGGCGATAGCTTCTTGTTGGGTGTCCTGCCTCTAATTGTGGCTCCATGGTGGGTGTGGGGGCACATTCGTGAATGAATTCTTCTTTTCGTCATGATGATAACCCCTGTTTCGGCTGCTTCTGGTGTACCTTCTCAGGCTCGTGGGGTGGGCGACCAAGCCCCCGAGTCGGTCCGTATTGGAAGACCGGGCTCTGTAGCCTCCGCTGCATTGGGCCCCGACCTTGCTCCTCCTTTGGCCTCTCTGACTCCTTCCCCTGGCTCCCCTCCCTCCTCTGTGGTTGGGTTGAGCCCAGGCCCCCAGTGGTGACTACCTCGTCCCCTGGCGCGGCTCCTTCTCTAGTTGTAACTACTGCACCTTTTAACCCCTCTCTCTCTGGGGGTTCTCACCGCCGTCCTCGTCACGGCCGCCCTCACTCGATTCCTTCCAGTTCTGCTACCTATCAGGCCTTGTTTGGTCCGGCTTCGTGGGCCAAATATTTTGATCTCCCTCTTGATTCTGCGCCTCCTGACGATTTCTCCCTCCATCGACATCTCGTTGATTCCGTGGATGCCTCCATTACTTTCAACCCCACTCTTCTCGGTACACGTGTCGTTGCTGCTCCTTCTCAGGATGCTGCTTCCCGCTTGGCTGCCTTATCCTGCCTTGGCGAGACCCCTGTTCGGGTCTCGAAGAACACTCAGTTGAATGCCAGTGTTGGCACTATTTTGCTCCCGCCCCATGTTGCGACCGGTGTTCGGGACCTGCGCGACTGCCACGACGATATTCGACATATCCTTGCTGCCCAGGGCCATTCTATTCTCCAGGTGGACATGTTTACTCGTCCCCCTCGTGGTAGTCGCCGTCAACCCCTCCGGGTTGTGAAGATTACCTTTGATGGTAGGACCCTTCCGCCCTCTGTCATTCTTGCTGGTGCCAGGTGCTCTGTCCAGGTGTACATTCCTTCTCCTCGGCTCTGCAACAAGTGCTGGAGGTTTGGGCATGGTGCCCTCCGCTGCTCCGGGACTGTCTCTCTCTGTCCTTTGTGTGGTGGCGAAGGTCACTCTAAGTCGGAGTGCACTTCTCCCCAGGCTCGTTGCCTCAACTGCGGTGAGGCCCATCCTACCTTCTCCCGTGCGTGTGTTCATTACAAGCTTGAGGCAGCCGTCCTCAACTTGAAGCACCGGGAGCGTTTATCTTTTCCTGAGGCGAGACGCCAGGTTCGCCGGCTCCCGCCTTATGCTAATATCTCTTATGCTCGCATGTTGCGCTCTTCCTCTCCTCGTCCTTCCCGCCTTCCTCAGACTCACAACCGTTTCCGGGCCTTGGACCCTGATGCGCCCACTGCCCCCTCCTCTGTTCCTTTGGGTTCTCTCCCGAAGGATCCTCCTCCTGGTCCTCTGTCCGGGGTTCCCCTTCCTTCTGCCCGGTCTGTCGTGTCTCCTGTGTCTTCTTCCTCGTCCCCCTCCGATCCTTCTTCCCATCCTCTTCCTCCATCTATCGGCTCTCCCCACCGCCTGTCGGTGCGGGCGGATGTCCATCGCTCTCCTAGCGGCCGTCGTGTGTGCTCTCGTTCGGCTTCTCCTGTTGAGACACTGGAATCCGTTGCCCGGTACGTAGTTGCTGGGACACCGGTCTCTCTAAGTCAGAAGCGCAAGCCTGGCTCCTCTCCTTCCTCTTCCCCGGCGGGTAAGAAGGCTTCGCTTTCTTCCTCAGCTCCTACGTCTGGTTCTGTTGCTCCTTCCCCTCCCGTTTCAGTGATTGCGCCCCCTGTTCCTGCTATGGAGGTTTCTTTGGCCCCTGCTTCCCTTTCGGTTGCTGCTCTTGCTGGGGTGCGCTCCCCTCTTTCTACTCCCCCTCTTCCTGCTGCTGTACTTGACTGCTCCTCTCAGTTGTCTCCTCCTCTTCCTCCTCCTCCTCCTCCTCCTCCTTCTCCTCCGGACCCCGCCCGCCCACCTCTGATCTGTTCTCCCATTTCCTTCCCTCCGTCTTTGCTCAGTTTACCCATGCCCCCTAACCCTGACTTTGCTGACCCTGATCCCGACCATGATATTCTTTAACGTGCTCTGTTGCTCTTTCGCCTTGGTTTCTTCCTTGTTCTCTGGTTTTGTCCTTTTTCTTCTCGTCGTTGTCATCCTTCAATGGAATGTTTGAGGTTATTACGCCAATTTCCTCGAACTCCAACTTCTGATTTCGCGGTTTTCGCCCCTTTGTGTCTGTCTCCAGGAGCCAATGCTTGGTGCTCGTCCTGGTCGTTTTCGTGGCTATTCCTTTCTCTCCCCCCCCCCCCCCAGCCATTGCTGGGGCTTCTAATTCTTCTGCTCTCTTGATTCGTGCTGATGTTCCCTTTGTTCCTTTACTTTTTCCTTCGCCTCTCCATTGTTCTGCTGCTCGTATCTTTGTAGGGAAATGGTACACAGTTTGTTCCATTTATCTCCCCCCGAGTGTCCCGCTCTCTCTTCCTGATTTGAAACACCTCCTAGACTCCTTGCCGGAGCCTGTGCTCCTGCTGGGTGACTTCAATTGTCGTCATTCCCTTTGGGGTGACGTTCTGACGAATACCCGGGGTCGCCTCCTTGAGCCGTTTCTCCTCTCTTCTTCCCTGTCTCTTCTGAATTCTGGTGAGCCCACTCATTTGGACTCTCAGACTCGCACTCTTTCTTGTCTTGATCTTTCTCTCTGCTCTTCTTCTCTTTACTTAGATTTCACGTGGCAGGTTCTTGATGACCTCCATGGAAGTGATCATTTCCCCATCCTTGTTTCCTTTTTCTCTTTTCGCCCTTCCCTCTCTTTCCCTAGGTGGCAGTTTGCTAAGGCAGACTGGACCCTATTTACCCTCAGTGCTGCTCTCTCTGACCTCTCCCTTCTGCCTCTCTCTCGCGCTCTCCTCCTTTTTCATGACACTGTCTTCAACGCTGCCCTCCACTCTATTCCTCGCTCTTCCTCTCGGGGTCCGCGGAAGTGCGTTCCCTGGTGGAATGCGGACTGTGCTCGGGCTGTCCGCTGTAAGCGTGCAGCCTGGTAGAGGCACCGCCGTAGGCAGACGACCGATTCTTTTCTTTTCTTTCGGAAAGCGAGTGCGGTGGCCCTTAGGGCCATCCGTACGGCTAAACGTGAATGTTGGGCATCTTATGTCTCAACAATTACGTCCGAAACCCCTCTGGCCCAGATCTGGAAGCGTATCCGCAAGATAGCGGGTAAGTTCGTTCCCGATGTTTCACCGGTCCTTCACCTCCATGATACTCTTGTGGCGGACCCGTTGCAGGTCGCTTCCGAACTGGGTTCCCACTTTTCTTCTGTTATCTCTGGTCTTCATCTTCCCCAATCTTTCCTTCTTCGTAAACCTGTCCTTGAGTCTCGTCCTTTAGATTTCTGCACTCATCTTCAGCTTCCCTATAATGATCCCTTCTCTCTCTCTGAACTTAGTTCTGCCCTGGCCCTCTGCGGTTCTACGGCGGCGGGCTCCGATGGTATTCATTATGAGATGCTTCGCCATCTCCCTCCGAGCGTGTCTCAGTATTTACTGAGTCTGTATAATCGGATCTGGGAGTCGTCGTCAGTCCCTGAGGACTGGCTCGATGCCGTTGTCCTCCCTGTTCGCAAACCGGGGTCTCTGGGTACTTCCCCTAAGGACTTTCGCCCTATTGCTCTCACAAGTTGTGTCTGCAAACTCTTTGAACGTATGGTTAACGTTCGTCTGATGTGGTTCCTGGAACACCATCACCTCCTCTCCCCTTCTCAATTTGGTTTCCGCAAGTGCCACAGCACGACAGATGTCCTGGTGAACTTGGAGGTCTATATTCGTACTGCTTTTGCTGCGAAGACCTCTGTTGTTGCCGTCCTTTTTGACCTGGAAAAGGCTTACGACACCACTTGGCGTTATCATATCCTATCTCAACTTCATTCTTTTGGCCTTCATGGTCATCTCCCTCTCTTTCTCCGCAGCTTCCTCTCTCGTCGTTCCTTTCGGGTGCGCCTTGGTACCGCTCTCTCCCTCTTTTCAGCAATACGAAGGTGTGCCCCAGGGTAGTGTTCTGAGCACTACTCTTTTTCTGGTTGCCCTCAATGGTCTTCTTTCCTCTCTTCCTTCTGGTTCGCTATCTTGCGCGGTCCTTGCAACATCCTTCCTCTCGCCTCTGTCGTGCTTTAACTTTTACCCCTCCTGCGGTTCCTGTTCCTCTTCACCACCTCCCTCTTTCTGTCCGGTTATCTCGCC